TTTGTCAGTAAGTCGTTTAAAGGAAAATATGTCTTAATGAATTCGTAATTAGTGGCTTTTGTTGTGACAAATTAAAGGATTTGCGTGGAAATGCTTCAGTTCATTCAACAGCTTTTAATTTGTAAAACAAAAGTATGATTGACATTTTACTTAAACTCATCAAGGCTTCGAAGTATTTGGAATTTAAGTTAACATTTGTTTGGACAAATTTTTTTTCTTTTTCAAGGTCAGTAAAAGTTTGGAGAGGTTCTTATTTTAAATATGAACTACAAAACGAAAATTTGAAGTTTTGAAATGATTGCGAATACAATTTATTAGAAAGTTTATTATTACAGAACGTATCTGTGTTATTAGCATATTTTTTTTTAAATATTTTTTTTAAGTATAAAGTGGAATACTTTATGCACTGTCAACGGGGCATGTAGTATACGAAGCAAAACACTCCATTTATGTCGAGACTCATGACTCCCGGGGAAACAGACATCGCCTTTAATAGTCTTGTTTTATTAGTTGTTCTTTTTTTTGTGTTGTTTTTTGGATTAAAACACCGCGTTTACATCGAAAGTCATCCCTCGAGTTGAATTGATCTCTGTACCGTCGCCAGTAACATGAAACCGACCGTCGTCAATAACATTTAAGCATGTAGTTCTTGGACTAAAATACTACGCCTACGTCTGGACTCATTACTTGCGTTAAAATGCTCTATATATTGTCAAGCCAACTGTTACCTGTATTATATCCATCTCTTTAACATTTTAACATGTAGTTTTCGTACTGAAACACCCCGTCTACGTCAAGAGTCATCTCTCGAGTTGAAATGCTGTACATAACGTCAATCCAACATGAGAACATGAGAACATGTAGCATATGAAACAAAACATTCCATCCTCTTCAAGACTGATTCATTCCAGAGATACCGCGTTCGCATGATTTCACTCAGGGAACCTTTTTTTGGTGTTTGAGACTACGCGCTACTTTGCGGTTTGTACTACTCGTATTTATTCCCTAAATCAAAGGTGTGAGTCAAGATTTTATGACACAGAAACCAACGCCATGTTCTACATTTTTGCTCTTATTGCATTGCTAACTATTAGAATATATAAACTATAATAATAAAGTATAATAAATTATTCCAATACCATATTTACTAGTACACCCCATAGTTGTATATAAAACGAGTTCGTATTGTTTAGATATTCTTCAGTGCTGTCGAAAAAACAAAACATTATGGTTAGTCCTATGACTTATGTTCAGATCGCTTTCTTTCTGAGAAGAAGGTAGCAATTGATTCACCCACTATGACTATGTGAACTTTTTAATGTTACATTTTTAGTGCTTTCAATTCTTATTCCAAGTTTTCCAATCAGCTCGCTATATGATCGAAGTAAATCAAATGTTGTTGAAAAATATTTTCATTAACCCGTTTCGTACATTCAACTTTTAAAGTTTCTCGATGTTTGCTAGTTCAAGAAATTCTCAACAGGCTTCGATATATACACAGGTTTAGGATAATGACTTATAACTTCTGGTTATTCTCTACTCTGCGATAGTTAATTCTGATAGTACTATAATACATATTTTTGTGGGTAAGTTCAACTCACTGGATCGAGAACTACTTCCCCCTTCTGACATTAAGAGGTCCTCAACAGCTGACATTCTGACTTTCATTCGAAAGGCGGAATGTCTTCTGTTCGGTTAGGATCTGTTGCTTCACAAAAGATCAATTATGGTCGCAGTGCCTCGCTCCGTTGGGAGCTGGTTTATTTTTATTCCTATCATATATTATGATTCCATTTAAAATTAAAAATTTGAGTTTTTTATTGTAAATTACGTTGTTATTTATAAAATATATCTAACTTTCTATGAAAATTAACTAAAAATAGATAGGTGATATATAATAAAGCTTCGTATGTGTGTGAAGGCTATAGAAGTTTTAAAAAGTTCTACTTTTCTGCTTACTTTATTTTTAAATTTATTAAAAATTAAAAATATTTCATATTTATTTGAAAACTTTTTGACAAGCGTTTATTTACGAAAATGTAAAGTTATTTTAAAATCAATCCACCACTTAATTCAATTCCATTTTAATTTTATTGAAAAGGAGCCAAGTGGATTCATATATGATTTACTAATAGTGCACAGTGACATATATTGGAACCAAGCCAAAAATTTAAATCTCCAAAACTTACAATCAATTAAACAATTTTTCGGCATATTACAACACTCTCAGAGTAATAGTGTTAAAAACGATTTTTTTTTTAGTGCAACAAAAAATATGTAATGGTTAAAATTTTAAAGCAATTTTTAGTAAAATCACATATAAAATAAATTACTAATAAAAATTGTTAAATTATATAATATATAATTAATATGTCTATATATATTTAATTAATATATATATTTAATATATATAATTTTTGGATCGTACCTAATGCATTGCTGAACAAGTCAATGAAGCTGTATATTACTTATACTGGGACCGAATATATATAAAGTATTCCTTTTAGGATGTTCGCCACACAAAAACATTGTTAAAATTTTATACCAGGTAGTCTCTACACAAAGTGACTTAACTTACTCATATGATTAGCGAAGATTAATACTTAAATCGGACATCATACAAATAAAGTGTTTGGATTGAATTTTCTCCTTTATCACTCCATCGATCTGCATAATATTTATACTCCGTATACTCTATAAAATGGATTATGACTATAACATTTAATCAAGCCTATAACATTCTTACTTGAAGCTAATATTATGTATGGTGTCACAATACAAAAAATGAGTAAAATCAAATTTTTTATTAGATACTCGCAACATAAGGTAGTCGAAAATAAGCTTACTTACATGTTTACAAAGGGTATCTATGTACTTAGGTCAGTCACCAAATAAAAAAAATTTTTATAAACCGATTTTCAGTTACACCCCAGATATTATCTGCATTTAAATTTATTCTGCATATTCTTTTCATAAAGGAACTTACTTTTATTCCTTACTTTACTTAAGTTCAATACTTAAGGTTATCATCATAAGAAAAAATAAAATCGAATTTTATACTAGAGAGTACCTATATAAAGTAGCCAAATATAGGCTTACTTGCATTCTTATTTAGATCTAATATTTCTAGTGATTATCACACCAAAACAATATTTAAAATCAAATATTATGCTACGTACACTCTCCATTAAATTGATGAATATTGGCTTTACAAGAACCCCATATTCTCATAAATCACTTTTTTGATCAACATATAACATAACAGATATATACTTAATAGTTTCTATGAAAATAAATCGAATATAGGCTATAACATTTCTATTTAGGGTCAATACCTTTGTTGAGCCTTTTCCGAGTTAGTGCATCTGGGCACTTTTACTCTGTGATGACTGGGAGGTTTCTGCAGAGTCCCACCTATCTCACTGACTAATTTAAGTATTCCTCATAAGCTTCGTGATTATTCAATGATTCGTCTAAGATCTGCGTACCGCCGTGTGCGGTTACTGATTACTCTGAGATAAGATAGTGCTAAGTAGCGCAGCCTATCGGTTTTCGCATATAGCTTCAGCGCTTTGTCTCTTATGTATATTTTGACCGCATCTATTGTAAGGTCTCTTAGCATGTCATTTGTGCGGTTGTACCATGGCATTTTAAAGAGCCTTCGGAGAGCTTGACTTTGAGCAACTTATAGCTTCTAAAGAGTGAAGTCGGCAGCTTTGCTATACGCGACACACCCATAAAGTAGCGCTGGTCTAATTATCTGGCTATAGATCAGCTTTCTGTTATTCGCGTTTGAAAAGTGGTTGTAAGCGGTGCAGTGTTTTTGCGCAACTACTCCTTTTGACTTGTATGTGCTTATGCCAAGTGAACCACTTATCAAACGTGATTCCTAAGTAAGGACAGCATGTCCTCCCAATTAATCGCGATGTCACCAATATCTCTCTCTCTCGGTGGATATTGCCTGTGTTTACGGTGCGTGAATTAAAGCGAAAAGTCTAGATGAAAAGTTATAAGAAGTTTCTGTTCTGATAGTCTCTTGATATTCTTTTTATTTTCTGTGTTATATTAGCCTAGGTTATAAGCCAAGTAAACCCTCTCAACCGATGTCATAAGGCCTGTAAATGTTTTTTAAAACTTAAAATTTAAGTGTCAAAGTTAATAAATTTTTAAATAAAATCATTTTTTTTTTCTATAAAATGTAGCAATACACTTTGGACTCGACTAGTGTTATAAAATAAAATGTGTTCACTTTCCAACATATCTATTTACCATAACTACTACTACCATTTGATTTTCATAAATAATAAATCTTACCAACCTTAACAGTAACAACTTTCATCTCCAGCAAATTTTAAATTTTTGCCACAGTTCCAACTTTAAAATAAATTTCAAACTTTCATTTTTAATATTAAAAAATTTCCGTTTCCGCTGTGAAAGGTAGCATAATTTATTTGAAATTCTGGCAAGCAAACAAAAAGGCAGTCAACATATGATACTTAAACGTTTGCCAGCAAACAGGTCAAAACTGACAAAATAACTACCCTGAGGCACACACGACCTAGTTGTGAGCGGAATGTACTGTAAACAACGGTAGAAAGCATCCCACTTGAACGGCTCGGTCCATTTTCATTTATGCGAAACTGTTGACTTTAATGTATGAGTGGCAACTCGAGCGGTGTACGTACCCAGCATCCTACAGGACCATGCAGCAGAACGTGTGTACCGTTAGGATGCTACCTGTTAGAAATTTCAACAAATAAAAACACCTGTGGAGATTGAGAGCGTTGAGGACTGTGACTGTGAAGAGAGCGAAGAGTTCCGAGGTGCGCATGCACTGGAAAGTCTACACAGAAGTCTTATGCTCAGAGCACAAATGCGGACAACAAAAAATACCTACCGAAGGATATTTTCGCTGGCACCTTTTTTGAAATTAATGCGGGCTGTTGTCTGGTAGCAAAGTAGATGAACATTAATTATTAATAAAAAGTACATATGGTGCGCTCTTTTTATGCTTTTTTATATTTTCTTTAAATTTTTAAGTTAACATTGATTAAAAACTGAGTAACCTGTAAAGGTAACCGTGTCAAGGTACAAGGATACTTCGCATGTAAACGTAAGGAAATATTTATTAACTTCGATCTTCATCGCTTTAACAGTGTAGGACAGGCGTAAATAATTTCAGTAAATTAAAAAGGAATTTTTCATTAAAAATTCTTGATTCTTGATATGTTAGCAAACACAAATAAAAATTAAAATGTTTTAATACTGAAGAATAAAACAAATAAGCCAGACAAGATACCGAACACCTTAGGAGTATGCAGGATACCAGCCGATGTAGGAGTAGGACGTGTAGGAATCAACACTTCTGGCAAAGATGGATTTAAATTGTGAGAGCTGACCGCAGTGGTGTAATAATTTGCCCAAATGCCAAAAGTAAGTAGATCTGCTTTCGACGAATTAAGTGTTATAGAAACCTCTGTAGAGTTTGCACTGTAAATAGATATTAATTAATTTTTTTGTTCATTATAAAACTATCAGACATACTTTTCTATCTCATTCCAAACAAACGTGGTAACTGGTAACGGCATCATAGCACCATCGACCGTGCTGGGCATGATAAGGCGGCGATTGGCTTTTCTAAATTTTCCAGTTATATTTATATAATTAAAGTAGTACTTATTAGCCACAGGTACACCTTCTGGGAATATATACCCACAGCTATACAGATCTGTAGACGTGCAAGCAATAACTGCACATATACTCAACTCGCTAGGATCCATGCGTTGATGTGTTGTATTTACACCGCTAAATGCTGCCAATCGATATAAGTAGGAACTGTGCAACTGCGAGTTACTGATAAGTGTACGATTCACATCAAACTGACAGCAGAATGTATTGTGACAAATTAACTCCTTAACTGCGGTGAAATTGCTTGGCAATAACTTCGTGCGGAAAATATCCACATTGTAATCGCGTAGTAGTCCAATTTTCGTTAAACGTTTCGTTTCCAATGTAGGCATTTCAATTGTAATAGGTGGCATTTCATATGTCGATCGATTCAAATGCTTAGGGACTCTAGCTTTATGTACTTTAGTAGTTTCATCCTCATAGATAGAAGCACTAATACGTCCAAGTTTACCGGCATAAATACCAGAGCCTGTGTTTTGTTCACTGGGATAATTTGCATTAGCTGCTAGTAGATTGACATCATTTGCAAAAGCCCAGCCTTCCTGTAACTGCACAGCTGCAAATATATACATTAAACAAATATTCTTATTTTTGTCATATAATTTTTGGCATATAAGGTATGATCGAAGAGTAATGAGAATTTTTCATTTATAAAGAAAGTATTTCTATGCAATGTTTATTCCATCCCTTTTAAAATAGTTCCCTATGGATTTATACATTTCTATTAGTATAGTTAAAAATTTGACAAACAATGTTAATATGTTCTTTAAGCTAAGATCTTGAGACGTTGCATGATCTTACAATTATCTCATCCATTATTAAAGAAGATAGTACTATATGTATCTGTTGAAATTTAGAAAGAAAATCAGAGAGGCTTTACTTACCAAACAGTAAAGTGGATTTTGGAATTCCAGTGATGTTATGTTTACCAAAAAATTTGGAAATTCAGTACGATATGTGCTAGTATGTTATAGTGATGTAAAAGCCATTCGTTTAATGTCAAAAGCATGCATAAAATTATTTCACTTGAACTATGAGACACCACTACTTTTTCAGCAACCTAGTGGATATATATATTATAATAGCTAAATTCCTTGGAATTATAACGGATATTATTGGTGCTCAAGTGGACGTTGGTATGCAAGGTCACTCACCGACCACTTGACCTCATCTAAAATTAATTGTTATATTAGCACACACAATCCATTAATTGTTTTTTAAACTTAAGCCATACTATAACCGTATTATAGTCTAACTCACCAAATTATATCAATTACCAATATCGTCAAAAATTTTTTTTAAGATTTTAATCACTTTGAAGCACTTAACCCTAGTTCTTATATAACAATTTATGCTAGCTCTACGATTAGACATTTTGCATTACAAAAAAATTCCGAATATACAGATGTACTCCTTGCTTATTAATTTGGCAAATATAAACTAAACATTGCAGCTATCTGATAGTTAACACTTACGTTACTGGAATCACAACCAATACATTAAACTATATTCGTAGTTTTTTTCCAAAATTTCATTCAAATTCTTTAATTCGTAATTGTCAACTCTACTAACGCACATCTTGCTCAATCGTTTGACAAACTCAAACTACACATTGCAGCTACCCGTTAGTTACTACATATGTTACTAACAGCACAACCAATACATCAAAAAGAAGGAGTCGTCTTTTTTTCACATTACTTTTTAAACACACTCCGTGTACTCACCTGTTAAGAAGGGTAGTTCCGAAAACCAGTATGTCGGATATATAATATCAGTTATATTTAATTCATTGATTAATACCATTGATGGTTCATAGAAGAGCATATCAAAACAGATGAAATGTCCAAAAGTAACACCAAAGTCGGTGTCAAATGTAGCTAATTCAGGCTTAACCTTGACATTTGTTGAATACCACTCGTAACGATACAAATTAGTTTTGCGGTAACGTGAAATCACGCGCCCTTGTCGGTCAAGGACAACGTTTGTGTTGTAAGTATTAAAGCCACTTTTATCGCAATCAATGGTACGATTTCCACAAAACTCCTTTTCCAACAAATTGATGACAACATATAAATTACGACTACGCGCTGCACATGACATTTCTGTCAGAAACCAGTCATTATTGGGTATATCACATGGAGCAATCTTTTGTAGTGGATCTGGCACAAAAGTTTTCCATTCCATATTATTCAGTACATATTCCGGAAAAACCAGTATATCCAAATCGCGTGTTTCTTCTGATTCAATTATTGCCTTCATACGTTGCAAATTATCCTTCACTTTTGCCTTAGCTGTGCCAGAACTACTTGGTGGAAATTCAACTACTGCCGCATAGTAGGTCTCATCATTTGGCAGTGATATCTGCGTTTTGAGATTTTTTCATTTTTAAGTATGTCCTCCCTTCAGCCACATATACTATATATGCTTACCTGTAAAGTAGTCTGGAACTCGGCTACAAGGAGTACCACTAAAACTGCGCATTTTATGTACATTCTAATTTAGAGTTCAACAACGACTGAAACTTATTTCGATGAAATTCATTTAGGTCTCTAAGCTTTTTTGAAGAATAGATCATTAAGGTTTATCTGCAAGTAGTAAATCTAATCTTAAAAGAAAATTTTGATTATAGACGTAATATAAATCCCATGTTGTTATTCAATTTGCTGAAGTTTATTTGGTAACAAAAACAATAAAGATAAAATTTTAAGAATAATCACATCTCTTAACATTTCGAGATATTTAGAAATGTTTATGAAGTTATATCCCATAATTAAGATTTACGAATATAAAAATAGTATGAGTAACAAAATACACTGTACCCAACTACAGGTTAGTATGAGCACGAAAGGTGTGACTTCCAAGCTCGTAATTCAGTGTAGTACACAGTTACAAAAGTAATTAAAATACCTACCTTATTTTATATAATTCTATATGTATATCTCATCTATAATGTAACGTTTTTTTAGTTATAAATTATATTCATTTTAGATTAATTGTATGTATTAAATGTATTCCTTAAGGTCATATGAAGTATAGGAGCATTTAGGCAATAGAGATGTTATATTTGAAAATAATAATATATTTAATATTATTTTCTTACCATTATATACAAAATTTAATGATTTAGTTAACTAATATAAGATTAATACCTATTTCGTATCACTCTTAAGCAACATCTAATATTAGCTGACACCCTTTCATGTAAGCATAATGAGGAAAAAGGATAGAGAGCGCTGATTTCCGCTGATGATTTCACAAACAATCTAACTAAATTAAAAACTAGTAGTGCTATACAAAAAGCGATTGAATAATACTATCAATCCGAATATTGTAGATACAGTCTGAATCTTAAAATATATTCAATTAAACTATGATTAATCTCCTAATATGGTACATCTAACTACAAGAGGACAACTCCTACTAATCCTAATTCAACTTATCAATTATTATAATTTAGTAGCCTCAAAAATTGTGAGGTCACTAGAATTAAATAGGATTAGGATACGCCTAGATTAAATAACATAAGAACAAAAGACCTCTTGGGTATCAGTAAATTTGCAGTTCTTGCACTTACTGAGGTGCTATAGCATCCATGCGACTCCTATAATCAGGAAATTATGGAATAATTGGCTGAAAAATTTATGGTATACAATATTTATTTTGAGATGTACATGATATAATATATAAGAAAAATGAATATTTTTTATAGAAGGTTGACTTCAAATACAGAACGGGAAACCATCACCCATTAGGACCTGTGATGAGCTCAGTTAATTTCTCAATTAGATATTTTACTGAGGCTAAATGCACCATATGGACTGCTTATTCAATAAAATTTAGATAATTATGCATGCTAATCGAATTTGCAACTTCCATTTGTACTATATATCCAGAAATTCATATGAAGTGTATATTAAAGTGCTAGATTAAGTCGAAGAGCGTTTTGTTTTTTATTATTACTCAGTCGTAATTTTTAGACTAACAGTACTTCAATCAATACTGTTAAGAGTTATTTATTTACGCGAATAGACACTAACTAGTTTGTTATTTAAACGCTTAGTAGTTAGTCAGTTAGATACTAAGTAGTTGGTTAGTTAGGCAATGGCTATTGAACCTGTATTTTCAATATACACACCCCCTAGATGTATATTACAGTAGTTAGGAAACCTGAACTAAAAGTTAATATCTTTGTTGTCTATATGTATTTCCTTTAGACATGTTTATAAATAGATAAATATTTAAATATTTCTATTTAAAATAGATATAAATAGTTGTTCCTATAGTTAGCATACAACAAGAAATTCGAGTGAATATTTGTGATTTCTAAATATGTTTCCATCCAATATATGCATTAGGCTTAAGTCATTTGAAATGTCTTAGGGTAGGTTGGGGATGTACTCGTAACAAAAATGGAAATATTATTTACAATCTCTATAAATAAATTAAAAAACTTTTTTAACATTAAATTTTATTGTAAGTCAAATGCTAATATATTGTATTATAATTTAATAACTTCATTTAATTTAAGCACACGAATCTGGAGGATATCATGCTTATGTATTTGTATTAGATGTTTATATACATTTTTTAGACATTACGGTAGAATAATAGAAACAATAGAATAATAGATTTTCTGTGCAACTATTTATTTTTTTTTATACAAACTAGTGTAATTAAATGTTTGTTTTTAAATAAATAAATTTAATTTACAGTTTTAAAGTGACAGGAGTTTATACTCCTCTATCTCTTCACATATTTATGTATCTTAAAAGTTTACAAATCTAATCAACAGATCAAGTACATGGGTTCTTTCAAATCTTCATATAGTTAAACTATTATCTGTTAGATTTTAAACTTAGCTTTTGTTGTAGTTGTAGCTTTCATCTATTTAGCAATATATCTATCGCTTAAGAAACCTGTTTCGATCTTCACATAGGGGATGTTGAGGCTTTGTGTAAACGAGTACTTTAATTAGCAACATATTGTGGTGTATTAACTATAGTTCGCAATGTTTTTTACGGGTAACGTTAAGCTTCTACAACATCATTATTACCACATAATTAAATATAATCACTCTTTATTGGCTTCATTATAATTTGGTCAAGATGAACCTAATCTTTCAGATTCATTCAGAGTTCTACACCTAACAGCCATGGCAATTGCTTCGTTTTACAATTAACATGTCTTCGTTTTGTTTTAATAAGATTTTTTTATATCAGTCTACGAAGTCCTCTTACATACTTTATGGAATTTGATTTAGAAATTACTAAATGGACGAAAAAACCTCAGGAAATATGCTGTCCTTTTTGTAAAAATAACTTCCACCGATATTTTGTCATATACTGTCGTTTTTCCGTTGTGAAACCAATCTTTAGTCAGGCTAAGCTTAGACTGTAGATGCTGAGAAGAGTCTTAACGTCAGATATAATTCACATATACAACAATATATGTATATATATATGTATGTACTGACTACAACTATATTAATAAATTATGTTAATACTATTATTGTATTAATTATATAGATATGTAGATATATATTAATTTCATATAAATATTTATGTTTATTTCAAAGTACTTATATTTTCAAACCATCTAACAAGGTCCAAATATTTTTCTATTTTATATGAAATTTTCTTGAAATCTATATTTTAGAAACCTGAATATATTCACCATTTTAACCACAAATAAATAAAATTATTTCAAGTTAAAAAATTTAATTTTTCTAAAAGATTAGAAGTTTTCTAAAGACTAATATATAAAAATCTTAAAAGCGTGAAGAAATAAAAATTTTATTGCCAAAGTCAAGTGAAAACTCATTGTCAATTGCACTCTTACAAGTTTATGGCGAAATTATATATTATCTTTATCTCTACGATACCATAAAAAGGTGTGCCATATACTCGTCATTATATACTCTATCTCTAATTTACATAAAAAAAAAATTTAAAAATCGGTTTTGTTTATTCTTCGTTATCCATAACTATTTAAAGTACGTATCTGACTGAGCATTTAAATATAATAAAA